GTTCCCATGCCCGCCGACAAGGCGGGGCCGCCGGATTGTCTTGGGCGTGGGCCTGGCCGTGGTCGCGGGGGGTGGCGTGGGCCAGCGGCGGGCAAGGGCAATCGCCGTCTGAGGCCCGCAGGGGGCGGCACCAGGAAGCACTCAGCAGTGCTCGGTGGCCTCGTCGACGAAGTTTTTCTCGTGCTGGTTCCACTGGACCCTGTCTTGTGATACATATATATATATATATATATATATATGTATACAAGCATACAAACGAACAAACATACATACATACATACATACATACATACATACATACATACATACATACATACGTACATACATACATACATACATACATGCATGCATGCATGCATGCATGCATACATACATACATACATACACATGAACCCTAGGAGCCTTTCCGTGCCAAGGGACAGGCCTGCGCGAAGCGCAATCGATATCCTCAAGCATGTTTCGACCGCAGCTTCGGCCAGGCTACAGGGAACGAGCGGCAAGAGCGATTGTGAGAGATCGCGAGAGAGCCGACTCGACGCCTCAAAACCCCTTGTTGGGTTGAGGAGGTAGTCAAAAGGAGAAGGTGGCAGAAGGGCTTGGATGGAGGGTGCCACGAAAAACTTGAGCCCACATGGCCCGCGGCACTTCCAACTCCCCAGATCATTCACGCGCAGGCACTAAACATGAACCCTCGGAGCCTCTCCGTGCCAAGGGACAGGCCTGCGCGAAGCGCAATCGATATCCTCAAGCACTTTTCGACCGCAGCTTCGGCCAGGCTACAGGGAACGAGCGGCAAGAGCGGTTGCGCGAGATCGCGAGAGAGAGCCGACTCGACGCCTCAAAACCCCGACCCACTGACAAAGAGTGTCTTGACCTTAGCCACAAAGAGACGCGCCAGCGACTTACACAAATCAACTGGATACGGGCATGCTTTCGTGGTCCAGAAAACTCCATTGGGATCCTTACCCTGCAAAACAATGTGCCTCTTTCCTGAAGCGCCACACCTACCATTCTGACAAACGCAGCGCTTGACCTGATCTTGCACCGGAGACCATTGAAAAGAACGAAAACGGCTTGGACCCTCTCACCGCCTGCAGCATCAATGACACTACAGGAGCCCAGGGACACGCCACAGGCGGGAGGTGGAGGGATTCCCCAGAGAAAAAAGGATTCCTGCGAGCAGACGGCGCCCAAAAGAATCGGCACATTGAAAAATAAGATATTAGTTTCAGCCAGCTTACGCCTATCTACAGAACTGAGCTGGGGAATGTCCCAGATATCTTGGTCACTTCTCACGGGGGGCGGCCCGCGTCCGTCGTTCTTACGAGCACGAGACCAAGTCTCACAGTCTAGACCGACGTGGACTCCCTCCACTTCATGATCTAGAATGCTGCGCTCGAGGCGGGCGATCACGGCAGGGTCGCTGAGGTCAGCGGCCTCCCCGTCTTCGCGGTCCCAGCCTTGCGCAGCCCACCCAGCGGCGGCGACGGCACTGGCCAGGCGAGCGGACCCGCACATGAGCTCGAGGAAAGGCCTGGCGAGCGAGGCAGGCTGGACTCCGCGCGCGAAGAGGCGAGGCGGCGGCCTCGGCTCCTCTCGGCGCCCTTCGGAGCTCGGTGGGCAGCCTGCAGCTTCCGCGGGGGCGCCCCAGGCGCAGGCTGCCAGCTGAGCGCCAGCGTCAAGGCTCGCACGAGCTGGCTGGGCGCCGCGTCGACAACGCGGCGTAGACTGCCCCCAGCTCCGTGAGCTCCTGCTGCGCCAGAGCGTGAGCCTCGCAGCGCTTTATGCTGTAGTCGGAGGCCCAGCGACCTCTGTCATTGATCTCGGCCAGCGACCCGCGGCGGCAAAGCCTGAACACCAACGCGCGCCTCCACAGCCGCCCCAGCTCCTGAGCGCCCGCGCGGAAGAGCATCGCGGCGGGGTTGCACGTCAGGCACCCCGCGACGAGCGGCCCCAGCCACGGCACCTCGACCGAGTCGAGAAGGATGCTCTCGTCGGCTAGCCCCACCTTGCCGGCCCCCCCCCCCCCCCCCCCCCTCACCGAGGGATGCAGGGTAAAGCCGCAGTGCTTGCACGAGCCGCTGGGGAGGAAGACGCCCTGCTCTCGGAGCCCTAGGGCCTCGCTTGGCCTGAGGTACGCCCAGAACATCACCACTATCATGAGTCCGACCTTCGGGAAACCAAGGTCGCAGGCCACAGTCTCGGCCAGCAAAGAGGCGACTTAAAGATGGGAGGCCGAGTCTGTCCTGGATCGAGCCTCTTCCAGCCCTGGAGCGCCCTCTAGAATCGCGGCAAGCGGAGGGGCCCCTTTTCGGGAAAAGTCGGGGCGCTCCGCGATAAAGGCGGCTTACGTCTCCAGCAGATCGGCCCTCTCCAGCCCGATGCTCCACGCGTAGTCGGCGTAGTTCGTGAGCGCCAAGTCGGCGTCCGCCGAGGTGACTGGCGCGAGGCCGTGCGAGCTGGCGAACCGACTGAACCCGGTCAGGGCCTCCTCGTAGTAGGCCTGCGTCCGCGGGGCCACCGCGTTCCACTCCAGGAAACCCTTGTCGCCCTCGTCGAGGATCCGAAAAGGGCCCGACGACTCTTGTCTCTTCGCGCTCCTCTCTGCCCTGGTCGCGCCGACAAGCGGTCGGCCCTTCAGGAAGCCCTTCCTGACGAGGGGGCTGCTCGCCGCGGGGCGCCCGGCCGCTGCCGGCCCGAGGTGTTGGACCACACTGCCTCGGCCCCCAGCGCCGCGACCCCCCATCGGCGACGTTCCGCTCTGAAGGGATCCAGCGATGATCGAACTTTGAGCCAGTGACCACTGAGAGCGCAGCCTCGCGACGACAGCACACCACCAGAGGATGAGCTGAACACCTGCCTCTTCCCAAAGCCAAGACCGCCCCAAGATTGTCCCCAAATTTTAGATGGCGATGTCCGAACGCAGCTTGACTCCTGAAATCGTGCCTGGATGTCATGTTGGCCGCTCGGCCCTCGACTATGGTAATGGACTCTCTGACGCGAACCCTGGCGGAGACGACCTGCTTCCAATCATAATCCTGCAGAGCCTCAGCGGGGACCTCGATGAAGTCGGGGTTGAGCTCCCAGGGGGTCGTGCTGGAGGTCCTCGTCGGGGATCTTCGGGGCCTTCACCGCCAAGACGTCCGAGAACACGTCGAGTTGGCCACTATGGTGACCCTGTGGGGCCAGCGCAGACTGACGGGCTTGCATCGCCGAAGGCGTTCGGTATCTCCACCCCTCACTGGCTGACCCGATGATATTGACGAGACACAAGGGAAGGATGGTTTGACAAGCGGAAATGACTGAGAGACAAGCATCGTAGCACATGACAACTGGGCCCCACGGTAGCCTGATGTCCGCAACCATTAGCGGAAGTAGGCGACGGCACTGCGCAACATCGCACGCAGCTGAGGGCCAGAGGCGAGCTCGCCTGCTGTAGCAGTCTCTTACAACATCGTACAAGTTTCTGAGAATACAAAGCAACTCCCTTCGTAGCATGGCATGATCTATCAGATGCCCGATGAACTTCTCCACCTCCCTCCCAGTCACTCTCGGCCGTTGCTCCAGCCACAAAGCCGCCTGACGTAGGCGCTCCGCGCGCTCGGGGCCAGCACAAACCAAACCACTGACGCCGTCAACAAAACGGCCTAAGCTGGTGAAGGTGTCTGCCGCCTCCACCACCTCATGGATCAGAACTCCGCGTCTTCTCCACTCAGCGCAAATCGCGTTCAGCTGTACATTGCAGCGGTCGGGGTCCGTGCCGATGACGTTGATGTTATCGCAATAGGGGAGGAGGCAAAGGGCGGGACCGTGATCGGTCAGCACCCTGGAGACCCCGAGGCCAGAAGCAAAGCAGCAGATGCGCGCGTTGGCACGCTGCCCCAACCAGAAGGCCCAGGACCAGCCCATGGGAACGACGCGCAAAAAAAAGGCCAGACCCAGCCCACTGATGGGGCCGTCAGGAGCGCCAATTGCCTCCACCCCCCCACCACCACCACCACCACCACCACCACCACCACCACCACCACCACCACCACCACCACCACCACCACCCCATTGCGACAACGCGGCCTGGGAGACGGGCGGCAACGAGAAGTAGAGCCCAACCTCAGTAGGAAGACCGAGCGCGTAAAAGTAGTTTCTGACGTCGGCCTGGGCGCAGTAGAGCTCGGTTGTATAAGCCCCCGCGTCGCCGCGATCACCAGGTAAGTGGAGGCGCCCATAAGCGGCAGACGCCCCCATCGAAGAGGAGGCGGGGCACGGAACCTCCTGTTCGGCACCCGCGCATCCCAGACGAGCCTCTGGGCGCCGCTCTTCTTCGTCACGAAGAAGGGCGTCACCAAATCCTGTGAACGAAACGTGAACCCCAGCATGTTGGCCTTCACCTGGTCTGAGATGAACAGGTGGTAGGCGCCAGGATCACTCTTCAAAACCTCGTCCATGTACGGGGTGACGGGCGGCTCTGAGTCGAGGACCCTGGACCACTCGTCAGGCGTGAGCATCATCTTGCTCTCATAATCCAGCACGTAGCCCCTCCCGATCGGGTCGAGCACCGTCTCAACCGCAGACACGGCCGCATCCACTTCTGGGATGTCTACTCGGGATCTGACGTACTTCACCGCTGGGCTCGGAGCCTCGTCACCCGTGCATGACAGGCTGGTGGCCAGGAGCTCCTTGGCGGCTCCACGGCGTGAAAAGGCGGCAGTAGTCCTCGGAGCACTGCGAACACGATGCAAAACTGTGGCAGCCGCAAGGCGCTGGGCCGCCGCGGTCTGCCCACGCTGCTCGCACGGGGGGTGGAGAGCGTTGAGACCAGCAATCGCTTCATTGGCAAGTTGCTCCGACCGCCGTCGGCGAGCCAGCCTCCTGCGCGTAGAAGACGAGACTGACCACGACGTCGGCGGCGTCGGCTGAATCAGCGGCAGCGGAAACAGATCACGCTGGCGATCTGCGGCTGCCGCGAGTGGCGAGGGAAGCTCCTCGGCGGACGGCGGGGCGGTCATCGAAACCCCGTCATTGGCCTGCGGGCCGCCGCGGGACGGCCAGCTCCTGCGGCGCGGGGCGGCCATTGCCCCGACCCCCCGTTGTGGGCGGGGTCACCCTTGGCTGCCCCCGTCGGCCCTCGGCGTAGCTTCTGCTCCTCCTTGGCCTTCCTGGCCCCCTTGAGCACCGCGGCCTTGTCTCGCAGGTTGGCCGCCACGTGCTTCTGGAGGGCAGGAGCGACCGCCGAGCCACCACGGTGAGCAGACCAGCCCATGTACTCGTCGGCGGCGGAGTAGTCTGGTGCCGACGGCGACACAGCGCGCGCGTCCTCGATCACCTGTAGGCGACGGCAGACCAGCTCGGCGCTCTGGAGCGCGGGCGCGTTGAGCTGATCCACGCTGATCATGGACTCCAGCACCCTGCAGAGGACCTCGTGCTCGTGGATCGAGCGGTCGCCATCTGGGATGCGACCCGCCCTCAGCCAGTTCGCGCGGTGAGTAACGGGCGTCAGCCCAGCATCTCTCCACGACCGGAGCACCCACAAGCACGAGGAAGGTCCGTCCGACATCAGTCCCCCCTCGGGCTCGTCAGCAACCTGAAGATACACGGCCTCCGTGAACGAGCGGCGCCTGGCTCCCTCCTGACTGAACTTCACAGGCAGCACCCTGAAATCGTCGATGACGAAAGCGTCTATCTCCGCCGCGGGCACCAGGGGTGCCGTGACCCATCCACCCTGAACTGGGCCCAGCGCGACGTCTCCGTGCACCTCAGCGTTCGGCGGCAGCGGATCAGGGAGACGCTCTCCTCGCCCGCGGAAGCCCTCGGTGGCCAGCCAAACAGCGGGCGCGGCAGCCGCGATCGGGGGCGCCGCTCCAGCGCGGCCGACCACTCCAGCCTCTCCACCCTGCCCGGCCGCGGGGGCGGGCGCCGCAGCTGGTGCAGCCGCGCCGCCTGCAGGCACAAGGGGCCCAGGCGCAGCGGGGGGAGGACCACCCACCAGCAGCGCTCCGTCCCTCCTGAGCTGCTCCAGCTCCGCGTCCGAGGGCATGGCTCTGAAACGATAGACCTGCCGAGCATCCACTCCCGCGGACGTCGCGCCCTGCACTCCAGACCAGCGGACCTCCGCCACGTCGTCACTCCTGGTCTCCTCGGCGTAGTGATCGCCGTCCGCCGTGAGTGTGGCGAGAAGACCTGGCACCGACTGGCTCACCCCTGTGACCAAACGCTCGTGGAACAGAGGAGCCCCAGGAAGGTCGTATCTGATGAGAATGAAATCACCTGGCCGCGCCATTTCTCAGACGGAGAAGCGCGACCTACTGCCTTGCCCGATCCTCCAGAGAGCCGTCTCGACCTGCAGTCCGACCTTGCCGAGCCACCAAGCCCGTGGCGGCCGCTCCAGCAAAAACTCCCAGGACACCGCCGCAGACGCCAGCCTCGACGACGCGCCTCTCGCCCACGATCACCGAGCCGCCCTCCTGAGGCGGCCAGCTGAGATTGACCACGGGTGGCGGGCAGATCGGAGGCGGGAAGACCGCCACAGGACAGGAGATGTTCGCTGGCGGGCAGGCCAGCGACACGGGCTGGCACGCAGGGACCGCCGAGAGAACAGTCTGGCGCAGCGCCGCGAGCTCCAAGCTCCTGAGCGCGGCGGCCTGCAGCGACTGGAAGGGTGGGAGAGGGGGGAAGCCCATCCGCCGGGGCAGAACTCCTGCCACGAAAAACATGAGCCCACATGGCCCGCGGCACTTCCAACTCCCCAGATCATTCACGTGCAGGCACTAAACATACATACATATACATACTTACTTACTTACTAGAACCACGCGCGCTACGCGCGCTTAGGTTCTAGACGACTACGCAGTCGTTGTCAGTAGACCTTGCGCTGATCCACGAAACCCTAGGTATCCAAGGAGAGGTTACCCAGGCAAGGGCCGCCCTTGGCACGTGGAGGTGCTGGGCCTTATGGGGAGTAGCTTAGGGTTCGGTGGGCGGTCGCGGAGCCGTGCGAGGATCGACGTGCGACGCGTCGGAAGGCTCCGATTGTTTCTCAGACAGCGCAAGTGACAAGTGCCATGACTGCCACGGTGGCCGAAGAGGGCCCCAGAAGCTCTGGGCCGCTAGGCCGTCGCCGCCGCCGCCCCCGCGGGCGCCGCCGCCGCAGCCGCCGCCGCCGTCGCCATGATCGTCGCGGTGGTCGTGGTAGTGGTCGTGGTGGTGGTCGTCGTCTGTGGACGTGATCACACGAATGCACGTTCTGGAGCGTGTTTTGTTTTTCCGGAGCCTCCGGACTCTGGAGATCTGTGAAGCCTCCAGGGCCTCCAGAAGCATCCTGGGGCTCTCCTGAAACTCCCACAGGCCCCCAGAAGAGCTGCACAGAACAGCCTGGGAGGACCCGAAGGCGCCAAGGAAGCCCCCAGAGCGCCCCCCGAGCCCCAACAATTTAACACAAACTTAACACAACGCCGTCCTTGACGAGGAAGCGGTTTGTGTCAATTGTGTGTTAAATTTGGGGTCCTCTTGGGGCCGTCTCGGAGCTCTCTTGGGGTGTCTTGGGCGGGTCTAGGGCCGTCTAGGGGTTTTCTCGGGCCGTCTTGGGGCCCTCTTGGAGCCCCTTTGGACCGTCTCGGGGCGGTCTTGGGGGCCTTTTGACACGTCGTGGACCGCTGGAAACTCGAAAAGTCAAGACCTTCGAAAACACTTAAGAACCGAAGGATAATCATTGGTTTTGCCTGTTGCGGCCATCTGAGGGGGCGCTCATCGAGTCCTCCAGGGCCGTCTGGGGGCATCTTTGGACGGACGACTCGAAATATCGCTTCGGGCCCCTGCGCTCGGGCCCCTCTTGGGACCGTCCTGGGGCGTCTCGGTCACATCCAGGGCCGCTCGGGGCCCCCTTGGACCGGCTTTGGGCTTTCTTGGAGGCCTCTTGGCGGTCCGTCTCGGGACGTTTCTGGGCGCCTCTTGGGACGCCGTGGAGCGCTGGAAGCTGGAGAAGTCGAGAGCCCTGAAGGCATTGAAAAACCCGGGAAAATCAATGGTGTTTGCCTCTTGGGGCCCTCTGGGGAGCGCTCGGCGAGCCCTCTTGGGCCGTCTGGGGGCATCTTGGGACGTAAGGCTCGAATCGTCCTTTCGGGCTCCTGCTCGTGGGCTCCTCTCGGGGCCGTCTTGGGGCCCTCTTGGGCCGTCTTTGGCCACGCTTGGGGCCGTCGTGGGACCCTCTTGGCCCGTCTTGGGGCGGTCTTGGGGGTCTCTTGGGCCGTCTTGGGGCGGTCTTGGAAGCCTCTTGGGACGTCGTGGAGCGTCGGAAGCTCGAAAATCGAGAATCCCAAAAGCATCTTAAAAAAACCTAAGGAAAATCAATGGTTTTTGCCTCTAGGGGCCCTCTGGGGAACGCTCGTCGAATCCTCTTGGGCCGTCTAGAAGCTATTTAGAGCTGCCCGGAAGCCCCGCGGGACATCTCGAAGCCTTCTGGTGTCACCGCGACACCACTTAAGGCAGTCTGGGCGGCTCTCGGGCCGCTGGAGCGGGTGCCCATGGAATCCGAAACCCCCATGGCGACCCGAGGCACCTGGGAGAAGGCCCTCGGCCCTGTACCTTAATATATATATATATAGATATATATATATATATGAGAGAGAGAGAGAGAGAAGAGAGAGAGAGAGAGAGAGAAGAGAGAGAGAGAGAGGAGAGAGAAAAGGATAGAGAAAGATAGGTGGGAAAGAGAGAGCGAGAGAGATAGAGAGAGAGATCAACGAGGAGAGAAGATGGGCTAGCGTGGAGCCCAGAGGGCCGAGAGTCTCGGGGTGCCCTCCTCATGCTCCAGGTCCCCCCAGTAGTGCCTGGTCCCATAAGCCCGCAAGCCCCCAGCACAGTGCCGGCGGCGACAAGGCGCGCGAGATCCTCCTCCTCCTCCTCCCCCTCCTCCTCCTCCTCCTCCTCCTCCTCCTCTTCCTCCTCCTCCTGCTCCTGCTCCTGGTCCTCCCCCATTATCCTTCTCTTCGTCTTAATATTATGAATATTCAGATTAAGGTATTGTAATTGCTGTCAGAATTATAAGGTATTACTAGTAGTAGTAGTAGTAGTAGTAGTAGTAGTAGTAGTAGTAGTAGTAGTAGTAGTAGTAGTAGTAGTAGTAGTAGTAGTAGTAGTATTAGTAGTAGTAGTAGTAGTAGTAGTAGTAGTAGTAGTAGTAGTAGTAGTAGTAGTAGTAGTAGTAGTAGTAGTAGTAGTAGTAGTAGTAGTAGTAGTAGTAGTAGTAGTAGTAGTAAGAGTAGTAGTAAGAGTAGTAGTAAGAGTAGTAGTAGTAGTAGTAGTAGTAGTAGTAGTAGTAGTAGTAGTAGTAGTATCATCATTATTATCAAAGGTGCCAGTAGCAATTATAATATTAGCGCTACTAATTTATCATACATAATAATGTTACCATCCTTGTATTGTTGGTAGCTTGTTGTATTCGCAGTGCCAACATTATTTGTAGTCGTAGTATGACTAGTATTTTGAATGCTAGTGCTACAGCGAGTATTCGTATGAGTAGTAGCAATACTCCTACTAGCGTCAGTATTAATATTATTCGTATCAGACGTTCCCCAATCAGAGCTTGCCTCTGTAGGGGTCCTGGCGGATTCATATGGTTAAGTTAGGTTTGTCGCCGATTTTCGCTGCACGCCCGCGTGCCCGGGTGCCTAGGGGTGCCCAGGGCCCGGGTGCCCGGGGGGGGGGCCCGGGGGGGCCCGGGGGCCCGGGTGCCCGGGCGTGCCCGGGGGTGCCCTATAGCCCTATAGCCCTATAGCCCTAAGCCCTATAGCCCTATAGCCCTATAGCCCAATAGCCCAATAGCCCTATAGCCCTACAATTCTATAGCCCTATAGCTCTGTAGCCCTATAGCTCAATAGCCCTATAGCCCCCTAGCCCTATAGCCCTGATTGTTTTCCCCTGGTATCGTATTATTAGCATCATTCCTAATGCTGGTGATACTGTTGCCAAAAAATAAAAGTGGTCGTGCTATGTTTGATGCGGTTCGTGCTAAAAATATGTATACCTATTGTCGCATTCCTATTCGTCTCCTCTTCTGACATAAGTATCAGTATTACGAGTCTGCTTGATACTATGATCTTCTTAGTTTTAAAGTGCCATTATCAGTCGTGGATTGTTTATGTGGCGTCGTGCTTTTTCTTCTTGATACTAGCATGATGAGTGCAAAGGTTAATCGTTTTCCTCTCATCCTTCTCTTCCTCTTCTGCCTCCTCCTCCTCCTCCGCCGCCTCCTCCTCCGCCGCCGCCGCCTCCGCCTCCGCCTCATCATCCTCCTCCTCCTCCTCCTCCTCCTCCTCCTCCTCCTCCTCCTCCTCCTCCTCCTCCTCCTCTTCCGTAGCCATTTTGGCTCAAGTCCGTAGCGGTGGCTCAGTGACTTGACATTTTGGCGAGGGGGAAGCAGCGGCCCCGAACTGCTCTCTACGTTCACCCAGTCTGCTGACTGTACTGGGGCCAGCGCCCCACTGTTCAGAGTCTGGTTTCTTTACACTGTACACGATTGCTCCTGAGTGGAGCGGATGACAAGCGGTTCCGATGCCAGCCAGTTCGCTAAGAGGCGGAGGCTGGCAGCATGCGCGTGGTACTGCAAGTGGTGCACAAACCCGCGGAATGGGGAGAGATGGTGGAACCATGCAGAGAAGGCGAGCTGCAACATTTGTGGAGGCTCAAAAGGCACGGCGTATGCGGGCAACCGCGAGATCAGTGGCCCACCTTCGCGCTCCGTCACTGCGGAGCGGCGTGCCAATGCAGATCGTGCGGAGATTGAGAAGCTCAAGTCCAAGCTCGCAGAGAAGGACAAGGAGCTTGAGAAGGTCAAGTCAGGAGGCGGTGGCGCTGCGGCCGACGGCAGTGGGCCCAAGGTGTCTCCCGAGCTTGACCAGACCCAGGCTCGCATCGACTCGCTGCACGCCACCTTGCGTGCCATGGGGGAGGGCGACCCGCTGCTGGCCCCTTTGCGCGCGCAGATTCAGTCTGAGATTCACACGCTCCAGTCGAGGAAGATGGCCGCCAAACCGCTGTCGTCGCAGCTGCACATGGCAACCAACCGCTGCCAGGCCCTCGAGAAGAAGCGTGATAAGCAGCAGTCACATATTGACGGGTTGCGGGCGGCTCAGGCAAAGTTGGCCAAGGAAGTGCTCGAGGCCCAGCAGCACATGGAGGCGGTCCGCATCGAGCTGCTGGATGCCGAGGGGCAGAAGCGCTGCCTGGCCGCCAAGGCGCCGCTGCCCAAGCTTGGCGACACTCCGTCGCTGCGCGTGGCGGTGGCGGGGCTCGACCTCACAGTTGACCAGGTCGGTAAGATGCTGGCGGAGCTGGGAGGGGACGAGGCCCTCGCGAAAGAAGTGGTTTCGACGTTCGACAAGCTCAAGCAGTTGGACAGGACGGCGGCAGAGGCAGCGGCCCAGAGGTCGGCGCCAGCGGCATCTTCTGCCGAAGGCCAGGCTCAGGGGGCTGCTGCAGGGGGGTCAGGCGGACCAGATCATGCCGCGGAAGCCCCTCCTGCCCCTGCTCCAACAGACGGTGAACATGTGGCGGTGCCCATGGACACGGATGATATCGAAGAGTTGCGCGCTTTCTGGCGTGACGCGGTTGGCTCAGATGGACCCGATGACGAGCAGGAGATGCGAGCCTGCATCAAGCGTCGTGCCGAAACTTGCGGGAACCA